GCGTGCCTAGCAAGATATTGATCTATATCACTAATAGGAACTTTATTCGGTTTAAATGACTTCAGTACAAAATCACCAAAATGCTTATCGCATGGCAATATATCAAAAGGGTTATTTCTGTCAAATTTTGAATGCATGTGCAGAATGGCGATATGATATTTATCGCCAAAAAGATCAGGGAAAAGGCGAAAATACGGTCCGATAATATTTGAAGAAGCGACGTTTTTATTAGCATTCTCTTCAAGTATCTCGGATACACGATCATGATACCGTATATCGCCAACAAGATGGAACGCTAATTTACCTTTGTCGAAAATTGCAAAATTGAGCGGTAACTGAACGGCAGCAATAAAAGTATTGAAGAGAGTTTCTATATAAAAGTCCTCGCCTGAAGTACTCCTTGAATACTGGCGGTAGAATTCCATACGTGCAAGGTCGGAGCGGACGTCCACCGCACCGAGGTGCTTATCAAAAGCTCCATCCCTCTTGGGAGCTTTTTGGGTTGCCATTTTTTACGCTCCCTTCTCACTTCCGCTAGTTAATCTGTAATAACTCGCTTTGGAAATCCCAAATCGCTCCATAAGCGATTGGCGTGACTCCCCTGCCCTATGAGCTTCTCTGAGCTCTCCTATCTGCTTTTCACTGAGGTTTGGAGGACGTCCAAACTTGACGCCTTTCTTTTGAGCATCCTCTATTCCTTCGTCACGGCGTTCGGCGATGATTTCCCTATCGAACTCCGCAATAGCGCCGAGGATATGAAATGTGAGACGACCAGTCGGTGAGGTCGTATCTATTGATTGATCGAGAACGATAAAATCTGCCCCCTTCTTCTTGAGAGCTTCAATGATATTGCAGAGATCAGCCAGGGAGCGAGCAAGGCGGTCTAGACGGCTTATAGCAAGCGTGTCCCCTTCCCTCACATAGTCGAGCATCGCCGCCAGTTCCGGACGGTTTGACGCCTTCCCACCGGAGCGTTTCTCTTCGTAGATTTTTTCACATCCAGCCGCGAGGAGTTTCTCACGCTGGAGCTCGAGCGATTGACCACGGCTCGAGACGCGGGCGTATCCTATTTTCATGTCTCAATTATATATAGAAGATTTGAGAATGCAAATTGAGACGACATTTGAGACAGGGTTTGGAGTGGGGTTTTATTGGTCTCAAAATGTATAGTTTATGAGAATGCGTGAATGTGTCAAACACACCACATCACCTTTTCAATCGAATGCACGAATTCTATTTTGGACAAATTGTCCCGGATGAATTGCACTACAGCCAGAAATCAGATGCGGAAAGATTGACCAAGCCGGTCAATTCGATCTGGAAGTCCGAGATCAAGTCACCATTCAGGTCACCCAAGATGATTGTCTTGTCGTTGGCGGTGCCCCAAGGGTTTTCCTGATACCAGCGCAGTTGACCTGATTGTCCGGTAAAGGCAGCTCCCTTGAAGCTAAGTAAACTGAAAGCCTGATCGCCGCCAGTCGAGGAATTTGCATCAATGGTGCGCAGATCCATACGATCCTGCCCGCGCGTGAAATCAATGATGACATCGCGCAAGCTTGCCGAATTGCCGGTGTCGCTAGCATTCGAAAATGCAAACACATCCGAGCCTAATCCGCCAGACAAAACATCGCGGCCGCTTCCACCGTTCAGGATATCGCTGCCGATTCCACCATAGAGCTGGTCGTCACCCGCATTGCCGTTCAAAATATCGTTTCCGGTCAAACCAATGATCCAGTCATTGCCATTGCCGCCGTCAATCTTGTCATTGAAGAGGCCGCCGGTGATGGTGTCATTGCCGCCATCACCGAATATTCTGTTTGCCGCAAACAGGTTTCCAATAAGTAGATCAGAACTTGCAGTTCCCTTTGTCCACCCGGCATATGGATCAACAGCTTGCGGCTGAATGGTTATACGAAACGCATCACTTGCGGAAAGAGTTCCATCGGAGGCAATAACAGCGATATCCAAAGCTCCCGAAAAGCCGCTGGGAGGTGTTCCGGTAAATGTCCGGGTTGCCGCATCAAACTGCAGCCAGGTTGGTAAAGTCGAACCGTTTGCGAGGGTCGCTGAGAAGCTTAAACTGTCAC